CTTTTATCATGTGTACCCAACCCTTAGTATTATGTTCCTTGTTCTTCCTTTGACTGCCCACAATACCTCGTAGGAGCAAGGAAAATACTGGGCATTTTCTTTCTAAATACCAATTCTCTATAGGTCAAAGAAAACCTGCCTTTCTGTGTCCATCCTCAGCTTTCCTGTTAATGAAATAAAGATGTTCCAGATTCACATTTAAGAAACAAAAACTGAGCAGTATTGTCTCTGTGAGCAGATGTGAAAAGGGTCAATCTGGGTAAACTAAAATATTTAAGGGCTGAAGCTTTGAGCAACCTGGTCTAGTGTAAGGTGTCCCTGCCCATGGCATGGGATTGGAACTAGATGATCTTTAAGGTCCCCTCCAACCCAAACCATTCTAGGATTTGAGGATTCTATTTCCAAACAACTCAGGATGTGACAAAGGGCTAAATCAAGAAAGCCTGAGAATCTCGTGAACCTCTTCGCTGTCAAATGCTCTCTTCTCCTGCAGCAGTGGAGTGGTGACAAACCTTCCCGACACAATTGACTGTTCATTACCCAGATGAACTGGAAGTGCTCTCAGCTTGGTGAGAACAGTAATAAAATATACTGTTGCTGGACGACTCCCTGTATTTAAGGCCCAACAGAGAGGATCAGAATACACCACCTTGCAAGCAGAGCTGTGTGAAACTGCTGATTGCCATGTGCCTCTGACATGCTCAGCCCCATATCCCACTGGTCTCCCTTTGGCTGGATCCTCAGACTGAGCTGAGGTCCTTCCCCCAGCTCTGTATATCGCAGGTACTGTACATCGAGGTGCTGTCCCAACCTTTGTTTAGAGTTCTGCCCCAGAAATACCTCAAGCGCCAAGCGCACACTGTCCCTGTGGCAGCACTTCCCACCTGGCCCAGCAAGCTGTAGTCCAGATCTGCCCTCAGCTTCACACCTCCATTGTTGCTCAGAGGGGGCAACCAGTGCTGGACCATCACCTTCCGTGCCTCTTTACTTGGGAGGTCAACCAAAATCCTCTTCTCCAGCCGCCGCAGCATGGCAGAATCTAACTCCCTGCAAGCAAAGGAGGAGAGAAATCATCTCACTGTGTCTTATTGTGGAGACGTGGCTGTGAGACCAAGCTCCTTGCTGCAGGGACTGACGTTTTTCAACTCCACCTGTAACTGTGCCAAAAAAAAGAGTTATTCAGTGTACTCCTGTTCAGCATGCCAGCACTACATTGGCTTGTGACACCGAGGTTTAACAATTACAATCAGAAGTTGTAGTTATCTTCCCTGGCTCTGGTACTCATCTGCCGCACATCTCATCAGTAACAACCTCTCCCTTTCTCCCTCTGCTATTAAGGAGACACTACAAATTGTCTGTCTGGGGCACTGTCAGGACTAATTAATTGCTACTTAGTAAGGGATGCTCAGTAGGTATGAAATCCAGACTGAAGGTCTTGGATGTGAGGCCATGCATTACGGCAAAACAAGATGCTGATCTGAGACTGCTCCTGCAATACAAATTATAAGTAATACAGCCACAAAGGAAATTATCCTTATAAAAAGGATCGTGTGAAGGGTGGACAGGTTGGATAAATATGTCAATGGGCCAAAATGATGCTGTCAACATCAACACTGATAAAGATGTTTTGCCTAAAAAAACCCAAAATAAGAAGTTGTTGTACCAATCTTTCACTACTTACCCTATTCAGTCACAGACTCATAATTTCAGTTTAAAATGTTATTCAGTCCTCATACCTGCCAAGAAACTCTCATCTAAGGGAAATCCACTTCAACGTGTCTTGCGCAGACAGAGGAACAGGAGCCCTAAGCACCATTTCCACCCTTGTTGGCTGAGTGGGAGAACCAGCTGTTGGAGCATCGTACCTGCAACCCGTGACTGTAGATACACTTAAATAAACCTACCTTTCCTGATTCCCTGGGTGAAATATTTTCACCAGAAAAGTTAACATTCAAGCAATGAATGGAGTTTCTTGTATGAAACTCCCTTTAATTTACAGGGAGCTCAAAGCCAGCTTAAGATGGATCTGTAGCACATCAAGAGAGCTTATTTCTGTCACCTTTGGTGACTTGTCCTTATTTTTTAATAGCCCATGTTTTCGACTGGCATAACAAATGATAAAGAATCTCAAAAACATGCTCCCAAATCTCCACAGAGGTGCCTGCCAGACCTCAGTACACCTGGCTCTCAGCTCAGTGGGAGCAGAAGTGTTCGTCTCCACAGAAAGGACACCTCACTTTGGGGTACCTTGTTCCATAGGGGTTGAGCAATGAAAGCAAAGATCAGAAAACCAGATCAAAAGGAACCCAAAGGACAACAGGAATTCGCTCAGATCCACCCGAGTACTTTAATCAAAGCCTCAGAATTGAACAGCAGAATTCCTTAATCAACAGCTGTCAGTATATTGATATTATGATTGACATTTTTAGGCTGTTTCAGATGCTGTCCAACATCAGTTGCAATGACTCTTGCACAGGGTTCCACCCAGAACAGACAAAGAACCATGTTAGTCTCCATTCACCTTTCAAATGTATTTTTCAGCTAAACTTCTCAAAATTTCTTTGCTTGTATGGAAATACTTACTCTGGCTGATCAACCCCTTGGCAGTTATTTACCTGTACTAACATCCTCCACGTAAGGAGGGCAAAAGTTCTCCGGGTTTTAGAGGTGCCCACACAGGTACTCTAAAAAGTCCTTGCAGGCAAAGAACAACCACAGCCAGTCTCTGCAAATGCCCTGAAAATCCTCCAAATTACCATAATTTCCAACACTCCTCCTGCTTCAGGTCCCCAGTATATCACAGTTTCATAAGCTCCCTAGCCATGTTCTGTAAATAAGTCCCCAACAGGAGTTGCTTTATTTTTCTCAGGGAAGCTCTGTCTGCCCCACCCCTAGCAGAGTTTAAGGCCAGGTTGGATGGGGCTTGAAGCAACCTGGCCGAGTGGAAGGTGTCCCTGCCCATGGCAGGGGGTTGGATCAAGATGGTCCTAAAAGTCACTTTGCAAATCCATGATTCTGTTTGTTCGGTAAGGTAACCTTATTTATCTTGGCTAAAGAGGAAAATAAATAAATAATATTTTTGTTATCTAAAGTGTTTATGTTGTTTGCTAAATCTACAGGATGTATAAAAACAGGTGACTTTTTGGAGCTCCTCCAGCTTAACATCTTGAGGCATCACAGAATCATAGAATGGTTTGGGTTGGAAGGGACCTTAAAGACCATCTACTTCCAACCCCCTGCCACAGGCAGTGTCACATTCCATCATGCCACAGTAGCCTTTCCAAATTTCAGGGATGTGAAGAAGACAAACATATATTCTCATCTCCAGAAGGGAGACTTCAGCAGTGCTAGAGAAGAACCCAGAAACAGCAACAACGGCTGACTGGTCTGCCTAGAATGATCATCTCCACAGTGCTCCAGAGGAAAAGGCACCAAGAATCAGTAAGCTCCTCTTCCTTCCCACCTGCCATTCCCTGTGCAGACAGCCTGGGCAGAGCCCCCCCCCCAGTCTGAGAGCTTCTTCTCACTCCATGCCTTCTACTAATCCTCTTAGGACTTCCCACACCATCCTCCACTCTCCTTCCTTGCTCTCCCTGAGCATACACATTGTGCACTGCTGAGAACGAAGGAAAGGGCTCATTACGAGGTCATCCCAGATACAATTTGGGTTTCATAGACCACTTCTCCTTGAATCCATCTTGGCCATATGCTCACAGCTCCAACACGACTCTGCTCTGAGAGAAGGGAATAGTCTATCCGCCCACACCAAAATTTCACCCACCCTGATGGTGGGGGGGGAGAGGAATGCAGCACTGCAATGGAAGTTGAATTAAACGTGCTAATATGTTAGGAAACAATCACTGTGTGTTTAAGGATCTCTTTATTCCTTCACTAACGAGGCCTTTATTTTATTTAATTATCTGGCATCATTTCAATAATTTGTCAATAGAAAGTGCCTTGCTAGTGAGTAGCAGAAAGCAGGGCCAGGCAGCAAGCACAGGCTGAAGAAGAAGATCAATAGCTACAGTGCAGCTTAGGACAGCGTAAAGAGCTTTGTTTAGGCTTCTTTTCATTCATCTAAAAGCAGCTTGGTCCTAATTTTTTCCATGATCAATAAATATCCAAATTAAACAAATCTCCTGAAATCCAGCTTTACAACAAATGTTTGCAAGGGCACAGGGTTGTGCTGTGAAGCCACAACCTCGGATGGTAGCACTAGGTGTTTTGACAATTTGTTAGGAAATATTCCTCTAGAGATGAAGTCTGGGTCTTACAGCAGGACTGAAAGTTGCCTAATGCCTATAAAATAACCTGTAAACTTACAGTTGAGATCTTAAAGGGAGTTTAAACTCTGCCGACCTCTCTGGGGCCAGATACTCCCAAATTCAAGGCTGGTAAGCCCCAATAACAATGTAAGATGCTCATGGCTTTCACTATCTTCCCATATCCCCAAAACACCTTTCCAAGCATACGCTCAGCCACATCATAAAGAATTTTCTCTGTGGTAGGCACATTTCTGCCAGACAACCTAGTCAGAACACTCCTGGGTTATTGGATTTGCAATATCCAACCAGCGCACAAGAGAGAAGGTCCAAAAGGAAGTTCTAAGTTCTCAGGTACTAAACTCTCAAAAGCCAGAGCTGGCTTCTTGCTACATCTCAGCTGCCACCCTCATCCCCACACAGGCTGCCAGCTTGCTTTTGGGCAGTTCCCCCAAAACAGAAAACTTGTCATGTTGGATTGACCTTTAAAAAAAGATGGTGTCATCTGGGATGTTTAAAAAAAGCAATTTTGCAGAAATTAGCACTTTGGTATTACAAAATGATCCAAAATCAAACATGTAAACCACTCAAAACTGAATTCTCTAATTTTTGCATGACATCTCAGAAAGAGTTTATCACTTGTGTAAGGCAGAAACCGGGTAACAAGACACATGCATGGATAGTTATCTCATAGGATGATTTAAGAGCCCACAGAATGGTGAAATGCACTGCACAGTTTCTCCTTCTAAAAGGGCAACAATGCTGCAATAACATAAACATTTACAGTATATTATTAACAAACCATAACTCTATTTTTCAATGGATTATTAATATATTAATTCTCTTTCAAATGTAACTGTTCACACAAACAGTAGTTATTTCTTTTTCAGCATTTTCTTACACAACTGGAACATAATTAAATCAAATTCCACTAAATTCCTTTCCTGTAGACACTGTAACACAAAATGGTGTGGATTTTGTACTGATTTAAATTCATGAGTTTGTCCAAGGCATAAATCCACCAAACCAACACACAGACTCTGCTATTATGGCTGTAAAAGCCAGTGATAGCTCTGTGCTCACACTGTTGGACAGCATAGGAACCAGCCTAACTTGTACATCTAATTTGTATGTAAATTTTAGCCATTCTAGTTAAAGAGCCTGGAAGCCCTGGGCAAGCCATAGAGAGAGGCAGATGAAAGTCTCTGAATATGTTGCCACTTTGGCACTTGAATTCCAGCTAGTGAGATGCCTGCCTGGTGGCTCTGGAAGCATCCTTCCTTGACTGTAAGGGAAACATTGGGTTTTGCATTAGGAAGGAAAATGTAGAGGGAAATATGGGCTTGTAGGATGAGGTGGACTGGATCTGTTCCCACAAGGGAGAAAAACTCCAGCCTTTCTGTCAGAGAAGAACAGTGTAATTCTCAAGGGAGTTTTTAGGTATTTATTTTGATTTATCTGATTTTAATGAGGTGCACTGAAGGGTAACACTGCTTGGTTTTATGCAGTAAGTGTGCCTCTATGCCTGAGTCAGAAGGCCACTCCCCTTAGGTTTTCTTATATTCAGAAGAGAGAAATACTTTGGATTACTCTCATGGTTCCTAGACTAGGCCCCTGCTTTGATTTTCAGCGTCACAGAATGGCTGAGGTTGGAAGGCAAGACACTAAGTTCATAAAAGATGACAGACTGAGATAAAACACCCCTTTGCTCATCTTGCAGGAAGTACTGTGTGGCAGAGCTGCCCATGGAGCCACGCTTATATTCAGAAGAGAGAAATACTTTGGATTACTCTCATGGTTCCTAGACTAGGCCCCTGCTTTGATTTTCAGCGTCACAGAATGGCTGAGGTTGGAAGGCAAGACACTAAGTTCATAAAAGATGACAGACTGAGATAAAACACCCCTTTGCTCATCTTGCAGGAAGTACTGTGTGGCAGAGCTGCCCATGGAGCCACGGAGACTTGGGGACGCCTCCTGCTTCACAGCCTCCTGCTTCTCTGAAGGACTCAGACTTGTCAGCACTAACGTGTTTAGAAAAGGGCCGGGCTTACAGGACATGGGACTGATTGCAAATGTTACCTTTGAGCCTCAATTCTGAGGCACCAACAACACTTCTGTTGTTTAATTCTCTTTGCCTGTTCCCCTGACCTTTCAGCCAGGCCTGCCAAAAAGGGGATCAGCTGAGGAGGGGAATAAAGCATTGTCACAGACTTTGTGAGAGAACATCAGGTGGTGTGTCACAACCAAGAAGTGCATTTGCATGTCACATAAAATCAAATATGCACTAGGAGTTGAGGCATTTTTATAAGTGCAAGCAGGCAGCTACAGATAAACACCCCATGTTACTCAGATCTGGATACTCCCAACAGCCTGCTGATCACAGCCCAGAGTCTTCCAGTCATTCAGAGAGGCTTTTCCAACATGCCTCCCTAAGGCAACCTCATAAAAAATCAGCCAGAAATCACTGAACATGAAACATAATCCAGGAATGGAGCCTGTAGTTTGTGGGTGCAGAGCCCTCTCTGGCTTCCAGCTGTTTTTGGGTGCCACACCAATGTGCCTTAATGTCAAATTTCAAGTATTGCCACTTGAAATGCTGCTCATCTGCTCACACAAGGTCATTCCTGGGAGCATCTCCCATTGGACTCCACCAAATGTTTCCTAGATCAGGGTTTGAAGCTCCCTGGAAACAGGACTGCTGTCTTCTCCTTTTTGGACTGCTAGCTTGTACTCCTCTAGATGTGAGAGTGGAATAGGACCACTTAGCTCTCTGTGCCTTTAGGGACATGTGTAAAAGGAAAAACCTCAGCGCTATGAGGATCAGCGACTGCAAAACATCAGCCATACTGGCCACTCCTGAGCACCCACAGTTGTTACAAATGTTACCTCCCTCCCTCATGGTCTGCTGTCTGCCTTGTTCCCAATACATGTCCTGCTCAGTTTGAGAACTAATGTGATGACATGCCCTAGTTCCAATCTGAAATTGTTTATTCTTCTATACTGTATTATGTTAAAGAAACTGAAGAATTGTGTCCCTCAACTTTTCAAAATCATGTTTGATACCAATAAAATCCAACGTTCCTATTTATGGAGTATCCTTCTAAGTACTAGATGTTTTAAGCACCTTACAGTTCCAGGCTGAAACCCTTCTTAGCTTAAACATAGTAAATAACTTGCCTATAAAGTCAAACACTCCATTTTAAATATTAGCAGCTGGTAGGACCAGCATATGTTGACTTTATTATGGATTATTCTCATGTGACACAAATAGCAAGAATTGTAGAGTTTAAAAGTAAAAGCTCCAAATTAATCTTTAAATGCTTTAACCAAATATCAAGGCTTTTTCTGCAAAAGTCTAAATAAAATCTTTATCTGTGCTTAGAAGCTCATGAAAATTTATTCAAAATGTACTCTCCGGATCTCTTACCATGGCAGATTGGAAGCTGCTAAAACAAATACAAGATCATCAGATCGGGCCAAGCCATCCATCTGCACCAGTAATTCTGTTTTCATCCGCCGACTTCCTTCATGTTCACCACTACCAAGATTCAGAGAAATATTATTTGCTCAGTGCATTAAAGTAATCATCTTTATTTATACAGTGTCATTCACAGCAACTGAGCCCTTGTCACACTTTTGCCCCAGTTCAAAGCATGATTAAGCTCCATTAGCTAACATCTAAGCATTAAAATCAAGCTTTTTAATGATTACTTAAATAGACTCTTTTCAGTGCATTAAAGTGAGAGGAATTCACTATTACTGAATCCAAACAAAATATTTATTTTTATTTTTTTCTTCACATTAATCTCCATGCAATGCTGACATTCATTGGAAAACTTGGAAAACAGCCAAGGCTTTGATTAATTGATTGACTCATCTATATAAGGGAATTTTTACAGCATGATAGTTGCCATTAAATAACTAACACTCCTTCCTAGTCAGGGTGACTTACTGGCATTTTTCTGAGAGTGAATGTTACTTGGCCACAAGAAGTTACACCTACTCCTGAATTCAACATTTTGCAAAATGTTCTATCAAAACCAAATGAAAAAACATGCTGTACTGACACGAATTTAAAAATGGGGCAGAGACCACACAGAAAGGATCCTTCTTCAGTAAAGGAGAACTTAAGCAAGTGCTAAGAATTCTGGCTCAGATCCAGTTAACCAATTTTGCAGGAAACCAGTCCGGGCTCTTGGTTCCAGATGTGGAGCTCTTGGAAACTCCTGGATCAAGCCCAGGGAAAACATCAGGTAAAAGTTCAGGTGTAATGGCTTATTTCTGAAAAGGCATCCACACATCAGTATCAAGCCGGTATTTAATAAGGATATGTAAAAATAAGTACATCATCTAGGATGAAAATCCTTATTAAAGTATATAATCCTGTGATGTTAATGAGAGCTTTTGAAAGTATATCTGAAGGTAAAATTTGGCTCATAATTTGTATCTATTAACTGAGAATGACTACAAGTAGTATCTTTACAATAGGGAATATTCTATTTATAAATAGTAAGCTTATAGTATAAACAAATAATATAAATAAAGTGAGTATATAATTCACTGTACATAAAACCCACTGTAATGAGTTTCCTAATGGTTATAACAATATTTTTATATTTCCCCTGCTTCTTCCCCATCTCTAACCTTTCCAATCTGTTTTTAGCTGTAAACTGTCAACACCTTGGATGAAAATAACAACATCCTCCCATTCCTGCAACTGGAAGTCCTGACAATGCCACCAAAGTCCATCCCATTAATGAAAATGTCATTCCACTGTGTACACTCCTCCGCATTACTCTGCTATGCCTAAGCATGTTTGAAGCAACAGAAAATCAGCTGCTTCTTACTCATCTCTAACAAGTCACCTGTTGTTACCCCACCACTGCCTTTATTTCCACTTCAAATCCTTTATTTCAAAGTACAGCACCACTGGTTATACACTTTCACAGTTCCTTCCATGTCACAGTCCTTGCTGGCCCCATAGTCGCTTGCTAACCCTCACACAACCTGTCTTTTACTCTTGCTTCTCTTCTCTGACTGAAACAACTACTACACCTCTCTCTTTAAATCCCCAAAGTTGTTTCAACAGTTACCCAGAAGCAGTGCCTCTTTGACTCATAACTGACTCCAGCTCATCCAAGAAAATTGTGGAAGGAGCATGGTACCGGGCGAGCTCAAATAACACCTGTTCAGAGAGAAGAGTAAATGTGAAACAAAAGATAAAACTAACACAAAAAGGCATTAGGGGCCACTGGCATGGAAGATAAATAACAAGACCCACATTCCAAGGCATATCTGCTGGGCAAAAGCTCTGGGTAGGCTGAGGGTCCCCGAATCCTCTCAGATTCTGAGAGGTTTGTAAAGGAGATATAAAGAACACAGCCTTGTAATCCTGTCTTTATGTGTAAATCTTTCTGGCTAAATCCTATCAGAGTACCCTGCAAATAATGGGATAGAAGAAAATGATCCATCAGAGGATTCTGGGAACTCCTAAATTGTTATCAGAGATTAAACATCTGCCTTTTGTTGTTGCTCCATTTGTAGTTTTTTTTAAATAAGGATTTGAGGAAAAAGAATTACAAGTCAGCTGAACCATAATGAAAGAAAATGGACTGATTCTCTTGATGAGAATAAAGTAGTTATTTTGGGGTTTTTTTCCCTGATGAAAACAAACATAAACTGCTTGAACAATCAAGATTAAAAATGGAATGTTAAACTGACACAAAATATGTGGATCTACCCTTTGGAAAAAGAAGTTTGCTCTATTTTTCTGTAAACACAGAGAGGCCTATATCAGCAGTGAAAACACACTTAGTTCTTCTAGAGTAAATTGTTCTTTGAGTTTTTAGATAAATATCGCTAACAATATATATTAATTGAGCACTTTTTAATCTGAACACCTAAAAATATTTTAAATATATTATTTTCAACACTTTGAATATGAAATACAGGGTTTAAATTATTTTCCCAGAATCACAAGAAGACTATGACCACTCTACAATTTTACTACAAATCTAAAATATAAAATCACAGAACTAGAGTGCAGAACTGAGAAAAACAGGATGAGTGAACATGCCTCCAAATGACCACAAAACCCACATACACTTACCACAACTTCAGAAAACTCCTGCAGCAGCCTTGTGTGGTTTTAGTGTGAATTAAATTCCCTAAATACTTCCCTTAGAGCTCTACTAATCCACAATCTTTATTTCATTTTTTGATTCTGCCAAAAACTCAACTAAGGGGAAAATGTCACAAATTCAGTATCATTGCAAATGCTGCAGCATGTTCACTAAACCTTTTTGGACCATGGTGTCAAAAAACAGACTGTCCCATCCCTACTCCTGCCAGAAGGGAAAATTTCTGGAAGCTACTGAGGTGTCAAGAGGATCAGTAACAGAGGAGGGGAATGTCAGAAGAAAAATGTTCCATTTCAAAGGAGAAGGGAGGCATGAAGAATAATTGAGCTGTAGATACTGCCTACATTTCAAGAGAGATTAACAATGCCTGGAATGCCATTTGCAGAGTGCAATTTGTTATGGTTACTCATTTCCAAGAGCTCTGCATCTATCCAAAGTGTAGCCTAAGAGATGAGGCTAACAGGAGGCTAAGGGCTTGTGGATTTCTTACACGGAAATGGTAGACATCTCAGGTACAAATTATTTGCACCACAGCTGAGCCATGCATGCTACTTGCTAATCAATATGCAAACATACATTTACTATCAAACTACCTTCCTTAAAACATTACATCTGTGTTTGACTGTAAGGTCTTTGTGACAAGGGAATTCTTCGCCAATTTTGCGCCATTAAGATTAAGAATAGTAAGGAATTTGTGAATCTGAATAACATTTTCTAGGAAGCCTAGGAGGCACCCCTTGTAAAAAAGATGTGAAGTGCTGTGAAGGGTCACAAAGCAAACACCGCTTTAGTTTGGAACTCGGCTTGTCTGTCTCTTCTTCAGTGAGTCAAGGATCTTTACTGCCTTCAGAACATCTGCTTCATCTTACATTACAGAACTAAAATTCCACAGCAAGAATCCATTATCAGACTTCTGCTGAAGTGATGTTATTCCCATTTTAAGAACTAGGTAGGAACAAAATCATGTTTTGGCTAGGTCAGGAAATCTGCTTTCCAGTACTGTGTTCAACAGTTCTTTAAGGGAACCTGATGTTAGTAAATTGTAATGAATGAGAGAATAATTCTTACCCGGACAAGTTTTTCTGAATCACCCCTCCATTTGCTGACAATAGTGGATGCTGATATGTTGAAAAACGTTGTGCTGCATTCTGTGGCAACTGCCTTAGCAAGCAAAGTTTTTCCAGTACCTACAAACAAGTGTTCAAGAAATTCACTCTCTAAAGGAATACAAAACAAATGTTTGAATAATTCCTCTCATTCTACTACCAGTGAGGTAAAATTGGTAGAAAGTCATAGAATGGTTTGTGCTGAAAGAGACCTTTTAAGACCATCGAGTTCAACCCCCTGCCATGAGTAGGCACATCTTCCACTACACTGGGTTGCTCCAAGCCCCATCCAACGTGGCCTTGAACACGTTCAGGGATGGGGCAGCCATAGCTTCTCTGGGCAACCTGGAGCAACCTCACCAATCTCACTGTAAAACATTTCTTCCTTTTGTCTAGTCTGAATCTCCCCTCTTTTAGTTTAAAACCATCACCTCTTGTCTGATCACTGCAGGCCCTGCTATAAACTCTGTCCCAGTCATTCTTATAAGCCACCTTTAAGTACTGAAAGACTACAACTAGACCTCCACAGAGCCTTCTCTTCTCCAGGCTGAACACCCCTAGCTCTCTCAGCCTGTCTCCAGAGCAGAGCTGCTCCAGGCCTCAGAGAATTTTGTGGCCTTTCCAGGACTGTCTGGTGAAACTCAGAAAATACAGCACCGCAAATGCATTCCCCAAATTCTGAAGTAGTACATGATGAAACAGTCACATGCCTTCTGTGGCAAGTATATCTAAACATTCACAGGAACAAATGGAGTTTAATGCAGTGACAGCCTTTGCAGCCTGACTCAGGTGGTTCTTGTGCCCTCTGTCCTCTTCCAGCCACACTCAAGGTGGTAGTGCTTGTGTAAAACTGGAGCAGATGGAGCAGGGAATTTGTGCTAACAAGAAAAACACCCAGCTAGCACAGCAGAGGGAATAGCTTCCACCCCACTCCCAAAACAACCCGTAAAAGCAGAAGAAATTAAGAACATTTCCCCTAAGCAGGCAACTCCATGCCAGATTTATTCACATATTATAGCATCAGGTCATGCCAACTTGATTAATATGGTCCAAGGTGAGTTAAAACAAATACATGAGTTTTCACTCCTCTGAACTGTTAGTATAAGTACTTTTTCTGGAAGATTCAGGCGTAAAAATAGTCAAGGCTCACAAGACTGGATAGGTTTGAGTGTCAGAGATGGACAAAATCATCCAACATTCTCTTCTTTTAATTCACATTACAGAACAGGTTCTTTTTAACATATTTGATCTAATTAGCATCAATAATATGGTATAAAGCTCTCCATACCTGGTGGTCCATATAGCAATAATCCTTTCCAAGGGGACAGAATGCCAGTAAACAGCTGTGGGTACTGTGGAAACAGGAAAGTAATTCAGGGATCAGAAACGTAATGGAATGCAAGGGACTGTAGCCCCTGCCTCCACTGCTCCGAACACATTCAGGAAACACAAGGAATTTGCAGAAAGTAGAATAAAACCCCTCCAAAACAACATACGATCTGAGTACTGAGAAAAGTACTGTATGTACTATTTGAAATCTGTTTAAAATTATTTTTTCAAATGCAATTAATTTGATATTCTCTTCTATAAATAATTTTTCATTGAATTAATATACGCCAAATCCAGGATTTCTTACATTGCCAACGGTGCCAAAGAATAGGACCTAACACAATTCTAATACTGAAAGGTCTTTTTCCCTATAGGAGAATGCAAATGCCATTTCAGATGCAAGAGGAACAGGAATATTTCTAACATGACCTGCCTGCAGAAGCACAGAAATCTAAAACACCACTGTAATTACAAAGAAAATGCCAATGAGCCCAACACTGGTCTTCTCAAAACTATTTAGCACCTTACCTTTATGGGATAAACAACTGCTTCCTTGACTAGCCTTTTAGCTGCATCCAGTCCTATAATATCATTCCACTTCACGTTTGGCTTATGGAGATAAATGTCCTGCAACATACATCACATCTTGTTAGCAAAACTTCTTCTGCACTGGGATAATGACCTCTGGCAAAGTAAAAGGATCAACTCAGTGATAAATAAGAGTGCTGTTAAGTGATACAAGCTGTATTATTTAACCCTACGTACCAGTGACCTCCCCAGAGGAAAGCATATGCAGCAATCATTTCCCTCAAGCTTCCCCTCCAGCCTTGTTTTCCTAAGAGCATATCCACTGCCAAATGTATAGGCTGACCAGATCGTTCTCGGATCTGTTTTCTGTTAGTTGGTTTTAGCAGCTAAATAACTAACATATGAGGAGCTGTCATGATAGGAAGGTTCACCAAACCTAATATTTTGCCTCTGGTGCTGGCAAGCACTGGATGTTTGAAAAAAAGAAGTATAAGCAATAATAGTGACATGTCGGGTCATATTTACATCCACCAAAATCTGCAACCAAAGAACTTCCATAATTCAAATTACATATTAGTCTTCGAGTTCAAACACATTTTGATATTCATTATTCAGTGAATTTGTCTTTCCTCTTTTTACAGTGTGTTTATTCTGTAGTCATGAGTTCCACTGTTCAGTCATGTGCAATGTGAAAATACTTCTGTTTTTGTAAACTTGATGCTCAGTAACTTTATGGCTGCACTTATTACTTTTAAGTAACAGTGAAAAACTGCTATTTACTCCATGCAATGCAAGATTTTATATGTTGCAAGAAAAGCTGTAAGAAACTCTGCAACAGGAGGAAAATTTTCCCCTAAGCATCTATCAAAAGATAGTCGGTAATTAGTCTGTGCCCTGCAGCACTTACTAAATTAATTTCATTTAATTCATCAAACTTTCCAAATCTTCTATGAATCTTTCCATTTGCCTTAGTAATATTTTGTGGATTCGCATTCCAGAGGTTAACTGTTCTATAAAAATTGTCATATCCTCAATACAAATACTTGGGATAAATTCTGCTCTCAAATAAAAACAGTCTCCATAGACTGAAGAAAAATTATGTGCTTGTATCCAAGGGGAAAAGTTGATTTAATGCAATTAAAAAAAATTATTTATATAGAGTAGATTAAACTTTCCATTTCTATTAACAGCGAATTAAGATGAATCAGATTTCTGATACTAAGTAGAGACTTCCATAACTGTTTCCAAATTAAATTAGATTGTGCTGTGAAATAGATACCACATGCTATTTATTTTTATCGATTTACAAAGTGTCAATTACCGCGGCAACTAGGAACATACCATAACAAAACGCAATTCAGAAAACCTATCATAATGAAGGGAAAGCAACCCTATTGCTCTTTTGCTAATGTTGCAGCAAGAACAACACTATTTTAAAGGTTTACCATAAATTAAAGATCAGATAAGAATTTAAATGAATGAGAATTTTCTTACTTTAAGGCTGAAAATTTGATAAGACTTCAGTTCTACTAAACTTCAAATGCAAAACTTTCAGACCAAGAATTTGGGCCATACACAGCTATAAAAAAATCAGTCAGAGAAAGCCTTCCAGGCTTTTTAAACAGTTGCTTACAATAATGTGGGAGCAACAGCTGATACCATGTCATAGATGTTTAGATCCAGAAAGAGTCACAACACTACCAAACACTGTGACACTATGAAGCCTTTTGGATGAGTGCCTCATCCAAAGGTAATGCAGTCAAAGTACATACCTGCTTTGTAATCACTGAACCCCAGCAGTCCAGGGACTATCTGCTAGACAGCACCTCAACCCATGAGGAAAATGAAATGGTGTTGACTATTAGAAAGGAATGGTCTTAATTACCTCCTCTCATTGTGTATGAGAAAGAAACATTACTACATGTGAAGAAATTACTTGTTGGGAGTAGCATGAGAAGAAAAATAGCTTATGCATTCAAGAATAAGCACTACCAGTGGCAGCAAAAAGAAACAAACTGCATTCTCGGATGACAAATATATCCAAGATCTCTACATAACCAACATGGAGATATGATCTTACTTTGCTTACAGCCATTGCAAGTTCTCTCATCTCACCAGTCATGCCAATAAAAGCACTAAGGGGTTTCAATAATCGTTCCTAAAAATCAAAAACATAAGTTCTTGTCAGACTTAAAGTATTTTTAGACATGAACTATGAAATAGTTTCAAAAATGCTGATACATTGTAGTAATATCAACATTTAAAGCTGTAGAAATATGGATAATAATAGAGATTTTTAAGTAAGCCATATTTGCAATAAGTCATCTTTTCCTCTGACAGAGCCTAATCCCAAACTTCCATTAAAAGGAGCAGCGCTCTTACTGCACCGTGCTGGTTTCAGCTGGGGTGAAGTTAATTTTTCTTCTAAGTAGCTGGTAGAGTGCGATGTTTGGATTCAGAGTGAGAATAGTATTGAGAGCACACTGATGTTTTGGTTTCTGCTAAGCTGTGGTTATCTTGAATTAGGGACATTTTCTTTCATAGAATCATCAACTGGGGAGACCTCAAAGATCATCAAGTCCAACTCTATTGTTGTTACTAGACTATGGCACTAATTGCCACATCCAGTCTCATCTTGAAAACCTCCAGGGATGGTGAATCCACCACCTCCCTGGGCAGCACATTCCAATGCCTGACAACTCTCTCTGGAAAAAATCTCTTCCTAATATCCAACCTAAACCTCCCCTGGCAGAGCTTGAGTCTGCACCCTCTTGTCCTACTGCTAGTTGCCTGGGAGAGGAGACCAACCCCCACCTGACTCCAACCTCCTTTCAGCTGTTTCCCAGGGTACACTTTGAGTCAGACTTTTGAGCAGACCAAAGTCTGTTCTTTGAAAGTCCAGGGTAGTTTTATTGATGGATCTGAGTATCGGA